GGCCGGGAAAGAACCACCTGCCTGCTGAGGCGGGCAACAGGCCCCGCCCTCAGGACCTTCTCCTCAACTCACACTGTGGTGGCACCAAGCGACCCACACTGCTGCAGTTAAGCCAAAGTGGCAAGCTTGTGGAGGAGTCCCTGTGAAGCCAGAGTTTTATGGAAGCTAAATTTATGATGGTAATGAGGATGAGGGTGAGGATGAGGAAGATGGTGAAGTTGATGAGGATGATGATGGTGGTTGGTTGCACAGTCAGCCAGATGTTTAGACTGGATTTGGCACTTTTAGGCACCTATTGAGTCCTTCCCAAGGACCTGGGATAGGCAGATGCTGTTGTTTGATGTTGTTAAAGGTATTGTCTCAGGATATAAGCTGTTCCAAGTAAAGTTGCCTTTTGCAATTGTCTGATGGTGATTTTGCCAATGCCAAAGATGTTCAAGTGGTGATTCAGATGTTTTGGGATTGCACCCAAGGTGCCTATAAGTATTGGTACTATCTTTGCTTTCTTTTGCCACAGTTGTTCTACATCTATTTGCAGGTAATTATATTTTGTGATTTTCTCTAGTTCTTTCTCTGCTATTCTGCTGTCTCCAAGTGTTGCAATGTCCACTATCCAGACTTTTTTGTCTTTCTTATCAACAATTGTCAAGTCTGGGGTATTGCGTGGCAGTTGCTTATTTGTTTTAATCCTAAGTCCCAGAGCACTTTAGCTTCTTCATTTTCTATCACTTCTCTGTTTTGTGGTCCTACCAGTTCTTGCTTGTAGGCAAATGGTATTTCTTACAGATATTCCAAGGCACCATTGTTGCTACTTTGTCATGCCGTTGTTTGTAGTCAGTCTGTGGGACCTTCTTGCAGCAGCTAACAAGGTGGTCCACTGTTTCTTCAGCTTCTTTGCAGAGGTGGCATTTACTGTTTGTTGCTGTCTTCTCAATTCTGGCTTGAATTCTCAATTTTATGCCCACTTATTGTTATTGTTATTGTCGGTCACATGGTCATCCAGATGTTTAGCCTGGATTTGGCATTTTTATCCACCTATCATGTCTTTCCGAAGGACCTGGGATAGGCAGATGTTGTTGCTGGGATAGGATGATGTTGATGATGATGGTGTAATTTAATGTTGTGTTTGCTTGACTTTTTTATTGTATGCAACATGTTTGAGGAGTAGCACGCACACACACATACCTTAGAGGGAACATACCCTTCCAGGCTGCAACTGAGGCCTCGGCTGGTTGGCCCACCAGATCCTCAGGGAAAAATCCAAGCTCCCTCTGACACCCATCAAGGCCCATCAGGCACCTCAGGCGGGCTGATCTAACAGGCCCTGTCTCCGCATGAGGTGGGGTGACACCAACAAACCAAAGAGCAACCAGAGAATGATTTGACCATGGAAATGGACTGATAACAATGTCCTGCAAATCTAGATAAGGTCGCAACTCCCACAAGGCAAAAACTAGTGTGGGATCCCTGTTATGCATTGGGTCCAATGATTTGGGAGATGTCCATGGTTGCCATGCTGGCCATGAACTCCTTAGTTACCTTGGGCTCAGGGCCACCAGATGAGAAGTTTAAATCCCTGAGAACCAATAGCCTCAGGGTCTCTATTGTCAGCCTAGCCTTGGAATCTAGCAGCTCAAACAGGCATGATGCTGGGCAACAGGAAGTATACCAGCAGCAATCCCAATTGTTCCCCAGAGCCCAAATTTAACCAGAGGGCCTCACATCCACTTTAGTACCAGAGGCTTCCAAACCCTCAATAACGTGCAAATGACAACTGTCAACCACTTCCCCATGCCTAAAGTCTCAGCTGGTACCAAGCCTAAAACCCAGGTAGATAGTTTGCAAGAGAAAAACTTCCCACTCTAGGGCCACCCAGGACTTGGCAATGCGAGCCAGGTATGCTGCCATATTCACAATCAAATGAGGACAGATTTATTACAGACTGACCTGGCACTCAGCAGCACCAGGAGTCCAGGGCCACCAAGGACCTGTCAGCCCTTTAAGGTAGACCGTACTACCCTTATCAAACCACTGTCTAGGCTGCGGCTCTTCCTCCTGTCTCTCAAAGTTATTCTCACTGCGATTACACTTTCTCAAATTACATTTCTGCCCTGGGCTCAGATTTCATTTACCTGACTGTGGCTTTGGTTGTGGTTCTTTCTCCTGTTCCTTGAGTTTATTCCTACTGCCCAGTACAGGATCCTCTAACCTGGCCCTGAGGGAAGACCCTGGGGCTGGACAACGGGATCACTCTCAATCAGCGAGCTTGACATCCCTGAGTGATGCTCCACTCCCAGATCCCACCGTATCTTCCCCTGCCC